TCTTAAACGAGGTGAAAGCAGGAAAAAAATCCCCATAGATCCCATATATTATGAGTGTTTATTAAGAAATCCCAACATTGATTTGCATCCTTTTCTGCCTGGTACTTTTTCTAAGGTTAACCATGAGGGGATGTGTGAATGTCATCAATCACTTGGGCTTATAAGTTAGAAAAGGAAATTGTTATAACAGGATGAGGATAAGAATGAATTAGTTGGAAAACTGTATTTTTATAAATCATTAAATAAAGTCTGGGGAAAAAAAATCACATTTTATAAGGATATCCAAATTTATAACATAGAAAAATGATATCAATGTCCAGGATATAATAGCAATTAACTGATTATCTTAACCATTTCCTCACTAAACCTTTGTTTTGCACTTTCCATCAAGACAGGACCATTGGAGACGTTCCAAACTTTATGAGCTGTGGATTCAAAAATTCATCTCTTCCCTTAAAAAAAAACAGAAGAAAGGAAAAAAGGGCATGAGCAAACAGGGTTTTATTCTTCATCCTGGTCATACTCAGCTTTATGAAGATAAGGGATGGCTTTTCAAGATTTCCTCTTTTGTCTAATCACGGACAGTTTCCCTGGGGAAAAAGAAAACGAAACAGTTCTAGAGAAAGCCACAAGCCAAACATTGTGGCCTACAGACAACACGCAATTAAAAAGTTAACAGTGGGGCTGAAAGGGAAGATGAACTATAATGTCTTCCACAGCTTGCTGTTATCCTGGGGCCTTGCAAACTGAGTTGCACTGATCTTGACTTGCATTTAGCAGGCCAGGCTATTCCACACTGCCAGGAGATGAGGTAAGTGTAGAGCATTTTCTCATGCAGTGTGGTGCAGTGCAAAGTCTTGTGTGTGTGTGAAGGGGACTGACAGGTTTGACCTTCTGTGTGCCACATGGAGCCCCTCACCTGGCACTCTGGGATCCAGCTCTGTTGGGCTGAATGTGTTGGGTAGAAGTTGAAGCTCTACACTGCAAACAAAGCTCTCAAGTGAAAAGAAAAAAACAGTAATGGAAAAGTGAGGTTTTACATCAGGATCCAGGTTTTAGCAATTGAGAGAAAGGGTAAGAAGAAATAACAAAATAATGCATTATTGTAGAGATCCAGTAAGTGTCTTGGAAATGTCACCTTGTGCATCCTGCAATTTAATCTGATCCTATTTCTTGCAGGGCACAAAAAAAGGAGTGACAAACTGCACACAAGGTTTTCCTTTAAAAAGTTCAGTTCATTTTCTAATGCTTTTACTTTTTCCCTGAAGACTGGTTGCTCTAGGTAAGAATGTCCATGTGTCTTTAGATGAAGGGCCTTGTGACTGAAAATCAGCCACTTATTATCTATATATAATGCTTCAGCCAGTAAATGAATGCTTGTGGAAAGATGCCTTGAAGAAACCCTGTGTCTTTCAGGCAGCTTTTTGTCTCCATGGATTAGAAACAAAACAGGCATTTTTATAGTACACATTTTTAATTAGCACCATAGTTATCTAAGTAAATAATGAGTAGATTAAAATACTCACTTAAAGAAATTACATTTAACTAAAACCAAAATAATGACTGAGATGAATTCTCCACCAGGAAGACAGTGTACTGTAAAGAGTATTGCTGCTCTTTGCTACACAAATCTCCATCCCTGCTCCACACCTCATAGGCTTTGCTGTTTTTCTGTTTGGCCCCAAAGGACAGAGGTGTTTTTCAGCTGCAGCACAAGACCTGGGCTGCCCCAGTGTCAGAGCACCAGAGCACACCATCCCCTTTGATATCAGGTGCCTCGTTTGCACTGCAGCAGTAACCTGGGAACCTGGGATGGGGCTGGTTCACCGAGGGATGTGACAGGCGAAAGGGTTCAGCTACCAAGCACTTCAGAGTTTCAAAGGCAGAAATGCTGGGGGCAGCTCACCCTCTGGCATCAGTGCTGCACTTTCATCTCATCTCATCTTGTACCAAATGTGGTCACACAGCACGACAGCACTTCACCAGCTCCTGCTGAAGAATAGCCCCAAAACACCGTTCAAGAATAATGGAAATGCGTGAATGTCTTGCACAGGAACAAGCTCAGGGAGTGACATCAGCACCCCCAACGTCAATTTGATGGTTGCATGTTCAGGCAATGATTCTGTGGTTACCAATGCTTAATTTTATAAACCTAAAAGTAGCACCATTGATTACATAAGAATTACTCATGCACATCTAATTAAAAGCTTGCTGGACCTAACATTTAAGTGTGTGTTTTTATGTTTGTGTACACATTTTTGTATCAGACAACATTTGTATCCTGATCTTGCTAAATAAACATCTGAAATCATTGCTCTCATAGATACTTAACTGGGAAGCTTGGAGTCTCATCAAGAGAGCCTTAGTGATGGGTTAAACCTAATCTTCATATCAGAAGGTGACTTTTTCTTCAGCAGTTGCTTTTTTTTTCTGTATAAGCCAGCTGTGTGAATGCAGGTGAGGCTTCAGGGCAGTATTTTAAAGTGGGATCTCTGATGTGGGAATCTTAATTCTTAATACAGTTGACCTTTGATTTGAGAAGTGCTGGAGTGTTACTGTCTAATCAATATCTGGCTTGAATGCTCTGCTTCAATTTTCTCCTCTGAAAACTATTTATCTCTCAAGGGTGAGATGAAACTTCATAAATGTCTAGTGTGAGCTTTTGGACAATTTAAAAGGCGCAAGGTTCTACTGGGCAGGATGCTTGTAAAGAATGTTATTCTGGTGGAATTTTGCTGCTGCAAATTTCTTGCATGCAGCAAAATAATATCATCCTATCAATACACTTTCATTCACTAAGATACATACTTCTTAAAGTGAAAAATACAAACTGCAGGGTTCAAATCACTTGCAAATTGCTTCCAAGTTTTGTCTGGTGAAACAGTATCATTACAGCAATGTGGAACAGAAAGGGCAAAGCAGCTTTATGTAACACAACTGCAAGCCATGGAAACAGAGCCTTGCAGAAAGTGCAACTCGAATTTGACAGGGACAGAGTGACAAATATACTTGCACTTCAGAGAAACGGCATACAAATTTTAGTGTGTAGTGGTCAGGACCCTGTTCTACATCTGATGATAAAGAAGGGGCATGAATATTGAGTGTATCAGTTAAGCTTCTGGCTTAAGGCCACTCTCCAGGCAACGTGCCATAGCTATGAAATCACTGTTATTTTCGACTTCACATTAGATGAATAGGGTAGTGCAAGCTGTTTGAAACTCAGCTTTGATGTATTTAAATGTTTTGAAATAATGCCTAGCATTTGATACAGAGTTTTGTTAACATTAGCTTTCCAAAGTGCCTGATAAAAATAGTTTTATTCCCTGCTGTTTTAATGTTATTTTTCTAATTAAATGCAGATGCTTAAACCATCAGCATTCACCACAAGATTTAGTTGTTCAGACGTTATATCATCTATTTTAATCCTGAATTATGTTCTAAATTTTTAACTGAACACTAAACACTATGGCAGATATGATTATGACTCGTTGCTGTATAGCATAATTCCCTGGGAACAAATGGGAACAGCAGGAACAGTGCTCTTCACACACAAAAACACTTCTCTTTAAGTCAGTGTCAAAGTTGTCTTGGGCTTCACTGAGAACTACATTTGGTCACAAATGCCCAGGTCTTTACTGCTTAAAATAATCTCCTTTGGCTCTTAGTCAGAGGCCCAGAAGCTGCAGACTAGTATCGGTGTGTTGCAAGTGTTTGGTGCTGAACAGAGTTTTGTTTTCTTAAGCAGCAGCTGTTTTCAGAGCAAAATCACAGAATCACAGAGTTGTGATCATCTAATCCACCCCCCCGGCCAAGGCAGAATCACCCGGAGCAGGTGACACACGAACGCATCCAGCTGGGAAGACTTCTTCCAGTGGAAGATTTCAAAGAAATCACTGCCTGACAACACGTTTCAACACCCAATTTTAACCAAGCAGCAGTTCATGACAATTCTGCCAGCAGCAGGGAGAGAGCAGGGCGCCAGATCCTCCCAGCACCTGTTCCTTGCCTTGGGATACCCAGACACTGTGCACTTGTGTTTAACTTCAAACCAGCGGCTATTTAGCCTCTTTATTCCAACACGTGCGCGCTTTGCATTTTTTTACAAGAAAGCAAAGAGATAAAACAATCAAGTCGCGAAGTAGCTTCACTTCGGTAGAAAAGGGGAGTCTCAGGCGCTGAGGCTCTGCCTGAGGGCGCCGAGCCCTGACAGGGAGTGGGATTTCGCCCAAATCCCTGCAGGAGGCTGCTGGAACTCGGGTCACTCGGGCCCACGCACCGCCCTTGCAACCCAGAAGCGGCACCTCGGGGCAGCGAAGCAACGGAGACCCCCCGCAGCCCAGGCCCGGGGCGGACCACCACTGCCCCCCCCCCAACCCTCCGTGCCACCCCTCACTCCGGCCCCGCTCCCCGCCTCCCCCGCCCCGACACGTCACTTCCCGGGGCGGCCGCAGCGCCGGGACCGCCGGGTCTGAGCGGCCGCGCTGTGATGGCGGCGGCGGCGGGGCGGTGGCAGCCGCGGCTCCTCGGGGCCGCGCCGGCGGGGCTGTGCCGCTCCTGACTCGGCCCCGCGCCATGGGGAGCAGCCGCGGCGGGCGGCTCGCCTGAGGCGGCGGCGACAGCGGAGGGCGCGGCAGTGCCGAGGGAGCCCCGCCGCGGGGGCCGCGACCCGCGCCGCCGGGGATGCTGCGCTGGGTCCGGCAGCAGCTGGTAGGTGCCTCCCCCTCGAGCCCCCCTCACTCCCCGGCCCGGCGGAGCCCCAGCTCGGCCGCGGGCCGCGGGGCCGGGGAGCAGCGTGGGAGCAGGGCCGGGGTGCGGGAGGGAGGGGAGTCCTTCCCCCCGCAGGGGCTGCACTCGCATCGTTATTGTAGTTTTTAAAAACATTACTTTTATATTTTTTATCGGAGGTTTTGCGATGTTTATTTGTTTGTTTTTTGATTTATTTTGGTTTCCTTTTCTCGAAACCCCCCTTGTCCCCACAGGGGACAGCGCGTTCCCCTTACCTGTGCCCCTCTCGTTGGGAAGGGCTCCCCAAAACTTCCCGGAGGAATGACGGTGCCTTTATTCCCTGGACCGGCACTTCAGAGATTCGCAGCTTCTTCCTCCTTCCCGTTGCGAAATCTTTTCGAGGCTCTTTAACTCGACGTGCTTTCATCTCGTTTATTTCCCGGTCCCTTTGCAGCCGCTCTGTGCGTGCAAAGGCTTTGGAAGTGACGAGGAATGGAAGGAAAACGTCCATGAAATGCGTTTGGCGAGGGAAAGCACTTGGAAAAGGCAGCGGTGAGGGTGCTTGTCCCCCCACACGGGGGGGACACCCTACTTGCTGTGCGGTGTTAGAGCGAGCAAAGGAAACCAGGCAGCCGAGGCTGTGCTGCTTTAACAGGGAAATACATCGAGTTTGACTATTTTCATTTGAAGTGTTGGCCGGTTTCCTGCCATGTCCAGCGTTGTTCCTCTTGCATTTTCTCTAAAAGAGACATTCTTTCTAAGTAATATATTTGTAAGATAACTTTTTCCACTCACTGCAGTTACCTTGCATCTCAGATGTTGCCCAGGTTAGTACGAGAGCTTACATTAGTTAGGTTTTTAGATATTAATGGTTAAAGCTTCTGTCTCACTAATGATTTTTTTAAGTTCTTGCATCACTTTTTACAAAAAAAAAAAAGGATAAAAATTTTTGTGTTTTCTTTTTTTCCCCGTTTCTTCCCTGACCTCGTTTCCCATGGCCCATAGATTTTCCCGGTTCTGTGTCTGAAGCACAGAGCTTGTGGTGATGGTCTGAGTGCCAGCTTGACAGTGCTCACTAGTTTGGTCCAATACCAAGAGTTACTGACCTGGAAATTAATTGCTCTGTTTGAGCTCTGACTGTACTCTTCTGTTACAGTCATACACACGGTTTTTAGAAGAAAACTTGTTTGGTGTAACATAGCTGTCACTTTTTCCACTTGAAGGTGGCTTGTGGTTTGTGTTTGTGGTTTTCAAAGCAGCGTTATGCAGTCTTCTATAGAGTTTAGATTAGGACTGTATCAGTGCCAGCAATTCATGTATCAAACATGGTTGCTTTTCTCCCAGGGAGTACAGCCCTGTACTTTCAGAAGCCCTGTACTTTTCAGCTTTCCAGAAATCTATTTGCCCGTAATCGAAAGTAAAAGCCTAGTGTGACAGGATGAGCAATAAACCTGGCACTAGGAGGTTTTGGTGCTTCTAAAGGAAACTGATGGGAAAATGACTGTTTAAAGCTCGCACTAGTTTTGGCAGGGAAGGATTAGTGTAGTAGAAAAACAGGATAATAAAAGGTCAAGTTTCTTGAACAGACATTTAAATATGGTACTAAGGGGAAAAAAAATTACTGCAATGATACATGTTTTGTGTTTTTTGTAGATGTCGCTGATGTTAATGGCTTGGTTGTTTCATAGCTCATAAGGATGAAAAATGGCCTAAGATTTGCGGTATTACACCGCATTTTAATTCCTAAAGACACTCAGACAACTCATCCCTGTGTGTAATGGTTGGTTTAACATAGAGCCCACCATGCATTTGGTTCTTCTCATGGCTGTGATGTTTAGGTTCTGAAAAAACGTCAAAGGTCCAAGAACATGGGGAAAAATGCTGACAAAATAACCAGAGTGAGTGGGAATAGTGGGGTGACAGAAATATCTGAATCGAAGGGTGCTAAAATTTATGTCTGATAGGAGAAGAGAAGAATGTGTGGGCTTGGATGCCTTTAGAGCGTGCATTTGTACCTGTGCTTGATGTGGCAATGGGCTTTAAAAAAAGTGTTCTCATCCATACAGGAGGGTTGGAACCAGGCAAAAATGTGGGAGTGATGTACGTGGGATGTTGTAGTAATACAAAAGAAAAACGTTGGTGTGCAGAAATGCTCAAAAAGTAGTAAGAGATTAGGAGAAGGGGGAGGGACTGGTGCTTTGCTGAAGGTGCTTTTAGGTAGTTATTAAGTACTCTCTGTATGAAACCAGTGAGTTGTTTTGCAACTTCTTATTTGTTTAAGAGAACAGTATTTAATATACTAAGTGTCCTGAGTGTATATGGTCTTGAGAATTCACATTTTCAAGAGTTGTAAAAGGGACAGGGAAAATGAAACAGGTGATCTTAAAGTAATGAGAAGACCTGGTATGGAGTTCAGATTGTTTCAGCTAAGTTTTTTAAGTGGTGATTTTTAAGTGATATATTAAGTGATTTTGCTGTGCTTTAGTCTGTGAAGATCTGTGCATGCCTGTAGATGTACAGAAAGGGATGCCCAGTCCTCTGAGAAGGGGAGACATGCTGAGAATGTAAGACTTCCTTCATCTTTGTAATGGTCTTACAAGTCCTTAACAGTTTTCTAACTGAGGTGTTACATATTTTTTCAGTGATTTGTTGTATATCAGGAATTGAATGACAGTAATTCTGTTGCTCAGTCTTCAGTGCCTATGTGACGCGAATTGTCAGGTTGTTTGGTATTTTGGCCCTCAGTCTGTTTTTTTGTTTAGGAAGAATTCACACCACTCTACAGAGACAGTTTATCAGTTTTTCTTCATCTATTGCTGTCCCATTTAAATAGACTGCATAGTAATTCATTAACTTTCTAGTTAATATTAAAAAGATATAATTATCTAGTTAATAGTTGGATGTACTTAAGTTTTAGTAATGAGAAATGTAGAGACAAGTGGAGTTACAATTTATGGCTTTGAGTAAAATACCCTGAGGTACTTCAAAGACAAGCTTTGCACAGGAAAGATGCTTGAGTTCCAACTCTGTTACCTTGAGATCTCAGAAAGGCAGGGGGCATGTGGATTTGCTCAGGGTTGCATAACGGCACAGGCACAGCCAAGTCTGCTTGAAAAAAGCAACTGGATAAACAACAGTTGATAGGAAGCATCACTAATATTCAGGAATAGCATAGTACGTTTTATTTGCATTTCCAGATGTCATGGTTTAGATGACATAGCTGATCTGTGTACAGCAGAGGGATGTTGTGGCTCCCCTGGTCGAGTTTGTGCAGCACCAACACAAAATGAGAGTCCAGCGTGTCATTTGTAAAGCTCGGTGACTTTCTGTTCCACTTCTAGTTCTGTGGGTTTGTGACAGTGTTTGGACTGTGCTGGGGTCCTGGTGGTGCACATGGAGTGTAGGAGCTGTTGCAGTGGTATTGACAGAAAGTAATGATACCTTCAGTTGTCTAATGAGATGGTATCCAAAAATTGTTGTAGAATACTTTTGTATGTGATTTTAACTGTGTAATTTTGAACTATTAGTCCTGTCACGTGAAGAAGGGTCACTGGTTTTTCCTTCTAGTTGCTATTATGAGGAGTTTGAGCCTTTTGATCTGTTATCTGTCATCTCAATGATGTACAAAAGATATTGCATGGAGAAAACCTAAGAGCTGCCTGCCTGGTCCCTCTTCTATACGTGACAAGTTCAAGACAAGCAGAGTTGAGCTGTATTTGTCAGAGGATCTTTACAATTTAAGAACCTCAGCGCTGCTGTGCACTGACAGCAACTTTTACGTGAGGTATTCGGGCAAATGCAGCTTTGCTATTTAACTGTAAGTCAACTATAAAAAATATAGATTAACCAGAAAACCTAGTTACCAGACTAAATTTTATTTCATAGTTATAGGAAGGCTCAGACTGGGAGGAAAGTTTAGAGTTTGTCTAGTCCAAAAGTTCTAGATAGCCTGCACTGAGGGGTGATCACAGGGAGTATTTTTGTGTGTTTTGTTTTGGTAGTCCCTGTCACATCCCTTTTGCTTCCAGGTGTTGGTATCTGTTAACATGTTCTGAGAGAACAGATGGTATTTTGAGATAACTTGCAGTTATTGGCATTGTGAGCAAGGTGGACAGCATTTGATCTCATTGTTTGCCCTGGCATGTGTTTATTATTTTCACTTAATCATTTTGTTGAATGAATTGAATCAGTACAGTTAACCCCCTCCCCCCAAAAAAAATAATTCCCTGTATTTTTTGAATGCTGAAAGTAGTTTAATCTAATGACTGAGAATCTAGCTTCTGAAATCACCTTGCTTTTCTGGAGTATCATTTTCCCCCTCTTATCTGTCATTGAAGCCTCTTACCCTTTTTGGCTAAAATTAAGTGGGTGTTTGTTATTGTATACTATAAAAATAAAGGCATATTTTCTCAGAAGAGTTCCCATGGTTCAGAGTGCCCAGCTCATGCCTTCTGAATTGTCACTGCAGGATCAGCGAGGTGCGTGTTAGAACAGGCCAAAGGTGGCATTGCCTTGGTAGAGTAGCTTGAGAACTGGGGGTTAGTGACTCCCCTCATGTAACTTGGCACAGGAGAAAATGTGGCCTGTTTTTTTTTCTGCTAGAGATATTCTTTGATCTGCTGGACTAGTCCTCCCATTGTATTTGGGTCTTCTACTCTTATTTTCTTTTTGTATTCTGTGACTCCTGAAGGCTGATACATTCTCAGCACAGTGTGTTCCAAAGCGTGCAGAACCTGGCCCTGCCTTCAGCCAGCTGTCTGTTCCCAATGGAGACATCCGCTCTGTCCTGTGTGTGATTTTTAAGTCTTACCTCGTAAAAAATTAAACCCTAAATTTAAAAATTGCCTACCCAAACCTAATCAAACCAGTCATGACACTGTGCCTTTCAAAGACTGTTTTAAAAATAGGAAGATCAGCGTTGTCCAATGTGCTGCCTTGCTGCGAGACTTGGTTTTCTTTTCTTTCAGCAGCAGATTTTTTGTTGTACCAAATTTCCACTTGTCACTCAATAATAGGACTATTTGATTGACTGTATGATATTCCTGCACTAACAGGTCCTACCGTCTATTTATGTTTTATGTGACTAGGGGAGAAAAATATTATTTTGTTGACAAAGAGCAAAAACTTTTTGTGTTCTAGTCAGCATGTAGTATTTGGTAGGATGGGGGGATGGTTCAGGGTGAATGCCTCTTCTTAGTGCTAATAGATTGCTTCTGACTTCTCATCAGAAGGTAAAATTCATAATCTAAGGCAAGTAAATACGTGCTGATTTTAGTAACATTCAACATGTGTTTTGAATATCATTGGTATTTGTTTTTCTAGTCTTAAATGGGTTGGCTGACTTCATTAAAATTGACATTTGCTTTCTTCTGGAATGGAGAGATAGGAGTTATAAAAGAAAACTACAATAAGGCATTTAAATTTCATTAAAAGCCTCATGACTTGTGCCTTTCACTGGTGGTCTCTTTTTCTTTATTGTACTTTAATGCCCTCAGTAGTTACAACTGGTTTTTAAACTATTTCACCAGGGAAAAGGTATCTACATTATACCTCTCCAAAAAATCCCCTAATTTCTAGCACAAAATCTGTT